CTATGGCAGAAGCTGCTAGTTTTGCAGACTTATGGGTGCCTTTTTGTCGCAAACACAACATTGAACCCCGGAATCCAGATTCATATTTTAGTCTCAAGATAGATCCAACAAAGAATAAGAGTAGGATTGATTTTGTGAAAGATAGGAGGAAGATTAAGAGAGAGTATGATGAGTTCAAGGTTCGCACCAATGGCCTCCCCGACTCAATACGAAGAAGGTCAGATGCATTTAATGCAAGAGAGGAAATGAAAGCTCTAAAACAGATGAGAGAAAGCGGAGGTGATCCAATGGAACCTGTGAAGGTCCTCAAAGCCACATGGATGGCTGATGGTACCCACTGGCCAGGAACTTGGGCAGCCGCTACTCGAGAGCATGCCAAAGGTGATCATGCTGGAATTTTACAAGTCATGTTGAAACCACCCAGCAGCGATCCTTTAATAGGTAGTAGCAACGATAAGATCATCGATTTTTCAGACACAGATACTAGATTACCAATGTTGGTGTATGTGTCACGTGAGAAGCGACCTGGATATGATCACAACAAGAAAGCTGGAGCTATGAATGCACTTGTTCGTGCCTCTGCTATTCTCTCAAATGGACCTTTCATCCTTAATCTTGATTGTGATCATTACATATATAACTGTAAGGCCATTCGAGAAGGGATGTGTTTTATGATGGACAGAGGTGGGGAAGATATTTGCTACATTCAATTTCCACAAAGATTTGAAGGTATTGATCCTTCTGATAGATATGCGAATAACAACACCGTATTCTTTGACGGTAATATGCGTGCTCTCGACGGTGTTCAGGTTCATATTTATAAAATCCAAACCCACATGTTTATATTTGTTGATTTAAGAAAATATTAATTTGAATATATATATATATATATATATTTTTTGCAGGGACCAGTTTATGTTGGAACTGGTACTATGTTTAGGCGATTTGCTTTATACGGTTTTGATCCACCCAATCCGGATAAGATTCTTGAGAAGAAAGATTCAGAAACAGAAGCGCTAACCACCAGTGACTTTGATCCAGACCTTGATGTCACACAACTTCCCAAGCGCTTTGGAAACTCCACACTCCTAGCCGAGTCAATTCCTATTGCAGAGTTCCAAGGTCGCCCATTGGCAGACCACCCTGCGGTCAAGTATGGCCGTCCTCCTGGAGCCCTTAGAGTCCCCCGTGACCCACTTGATGCCACAACTGTCGCAGAGTCTGTTTCTGTAATCTCTTGTTGGTATGAGGATAAAACAGAGTGGGGAGACAGAGTCGGATGGATTTATGGGTCAGTGACAGAGGATGTTGTCACAGGGTACCGCATGCATAATCGTGGATGGCGCTCTGTTTACTGCATCACCAAACGAGATTCTTTCCGCGGTTCTGCACCCATTAATCTCACAGATCGCCTTCACCAAGTTTTGCGATGGGCCACCGGCTCTGTGGAGATATTCTTCTCTAGAAACAACGCCATTCTTGCCTCAAAACGTCTCAAGTTCCTCCAACGCCTTGCATACCTCAATGTCGGAATATATCCCTTCACCTCTTTGTTTCTCATCCTCTATTGTTTTCTTCCAGCATTCTCTCTTTTCTCTGGACAGTTTATAGTACGAACACTAAGTATCTCCTTCTTAGTTTACCTCCTTATGATTACCATTTGTTTGATTGGCTTGGCGGTTCTAGAGGTCAAGTGGTCGGGCATCGGACTTGAAGAATGGTGGAGAAATGAACAATGGTGGCTTATCTCTGGAACAAGCTCTCACCTTTATGCTGTAGTCCAAGGAGTCCTCAAAGTTATTGCAGGGATCGAGATCTCTTTTACCTTAACGTCTAAATCCGGGGGAGATGACAATGATGATATATACGCAGATTTATACATAGTGAAATGGTCATCTCTAATGATACCACCCATAGTGATAGCAATGGTAAACATAATAGCAATTGTGGTAGCGTTTGTCAGGACGATATACCAAGCGGTGCCACAATGGAGCAAATTGATAGGAGGAGCTTTTTTCAGCTTCTGGGTGTTAGCACATTTGTATCCTTTTGCAAAAGGATTAATGGGAAGGAGAGGCAAGACTCCAACAATAGTTTTTGTGTGGGCAGGTCTAATTGCCATCACTATCTCTCTACTATGGACGGCTATTAATCCTAACACCGGACCTGTCGCTGCTGCTGAAGGTGTTGGAGGTGGTGGATTTCAATTTCCTTAAAACATTTATATAAGGTGTTGGAGGTGGTGGATTTCAATTTCCTTAAAACATATATATATATATATATAGATGAGTAGAGTTTTATTTAACTACAACAATAATACACTTTCCTATTTCCTTTTTCTTGTTTATTTATTTCTTTGGTTGTAATACTTTCATTTAGCGACATAGCATGAATGTTAAAGAAGTTTGAGATCTTAGGTGTTCATTTTTCTCAAGAAATAGATTTTTTTTTTTCATATGGGCTTTTTCTACTGATTAATTGGTATATGAAATTTAAATAAATTACCTTGTTCAAATATTAGAAATGATGTCCATGTACAATGAAAATAATTTTAACATAATTTATACAAATTTAGAATGTGATTGGGTAATTTTTTATCAACAAAAAAGAGCCTAAACTCCTGAATATAAAATTTGTCGAAAAACTCGATTTTTGTGTAGAGGTTAACCCACATATTTCGAGAAAAAATAGAAAAAATGAAAATTTTGTTTTAATACACATTTGCATCATGAAGTGACATAGTATGAAGGTTAAAGAGGTTTGAGACCTTAGGTGTTCATGTTTCTCCAGAAAATATAATTTTTTATAGGAGGTTTATCCACTGATTAAGTGGTAAATGAAATTTAAATAAATTACATGTTGAAAAATTAAAAATGATGTTCATGTACTAGGTAAAATAAGCTTATCATACATTAATATAAGTTTTGAGTGTGGTTAAGTATTTTTAAATAGTACGAAAGAGGCTAAACTTTAGTATATATAGCATTTATTGGAAAATTCAATATTTTCGTAGGGGTTAACCTACATAGTTCAAGATAAATTAGAAAATATGAAGTTTTTTATGCATAATTTCATCATGCACTGACATATGATGAATATTAAAGAGGTGTGTGACCTTAGTTGTCCCCGTTTCTCATGAAAATACAGATTTTATAGGGGTTAGTCCACTAAGTTAGGTGAAATATGAAGTTTTATAAAATATTTTCACAAGAATACTAGAAATGATGCCCATGTACCATGCAAATTATTTTAATATACACTAATATAAATTTAGAATGTGATTAGGTAATTATAATCAACAATAAAGAGCCTAAACGTTTGAATATAACATTTATTGAAAAACTCATTTTTTGTAGGATAATTTGAGAAAAATTAGATAATATCAAAATTTTGTTTTAATGCATATTTGCATCATTCAGCGACATAGTATGAAGGTCAAAGAGGTTTGAGACCTTAGGTGTTCATATTTCTCAAAAAAATAGATTTTTTTGTATGGGCTTTTTCTACTAATTAAGTGATATATGAAATTTAAATAAATTACTTTGACCACCACTCGATCAGAATACATATCGAAATGGGAGAGGGCAAAAAATGGAACCCTAAACCCTAAATCAGAAAAACCAAAGGGGAAAAAAATTAGAGTGAATAAGAAGGAGAAGAGGTTCAGCTCAAATGAGTAGTATTCAAGTTACTTACTGAGGCAATTAGAAACCATAATTTCTATCAGGAAGATCACAGAAACAAAGAAATGCAAATTCTTCGAACGAAATTGATTTTTTTCCAGTTTTGTTATTTCTTCGACTCGACAGGTTTCACTAAGGAAGTGTATCAAATACAACCGAGTCGAGTCGGATCGGGTCGGTTCAGATAGGTATATTTTCTCTCTTTTTTTTTTATAAAAAAAACTCTAAATCTATCTCTAGAAATCATATTTTTCTTCAGATTGGCTCATTGTTTGAAGAGCTAAAGTGAGAGGAGAATATATTTTGATCAAGTAAGACATAAAAAGCAAAGAGTTTGACAAACTTACAGTACAGAGGAGAGCAAGTGTTTGCTGCCAGAACTTAAGTGACCTTTGCATAGATAAGGCTCTTGAGATCGTTGTTCACCATTGCAGAAACAATCTGAAACAGATAAACATACAATAGTTAAGAGGGTTTGCAACCATAAAGAGGTATGTTCATTGCACTTGCCTACATATCAAGTTGGAAAGGTATATACATACCTTCATGTAAGGTCTTTAAATATTTCTCACCAGTACTCTCCCACAACATGAGCTATAAGTTATAACTAAAGGCATCAGCCATCTTATTTGCAGATATACAGTGATCCACAATTTCCAACAACTATAGCACACTTGAACAGAATTTCCTCGCTTACTTGTTTCCTCCTTGTGTTATTGTAGTATTTCCGTGTTCTTGAATGTTCGTCCTTTTCCTTTCACAAGGTCATGGACAAGAACAACTTTAAAATAACAACAGATGATGAGACCGAGGTTGCACGCGCTGGGCAGTATCTTCTGATCTCTTCCCATCAAAGTTGTTTTTGTTTCTCAAGTTCATGATACTTCGTGTTCTTGTGTAAGTTGTTTTTGTTTCTTGGATTTCTCTGTCTCTACCTTCCTCGGGGTACTCGAACTTATCTATTTCCAATTGATCCACCAGACACTATTTCCACAACCTCTATCTGCAACAAAAGCATATCCAATGATAAGGGTTCGACGAATGGATCTCTCAAAATGCATCACAAGGCTAAGGCTGATGTAATAAAAAGACGAACCTTGAGTTGAGAAAGACCTCTTTCTGCTCGATATTGTATGTTGCATGTGTTCATATCAGACAAATATTGATTTGTTGCATGTAGATTTTGTAAACAACCGACAGTACATTCATCACTTGGAGTTTTAGTGAAATGAGAAGAAGAGAAGAGACTTAATTTCTCATCAAGTCTTCTAAGCTATACGCTTGGTTTGATCTATAAATTTGTTTAAAATTACATGGATGGCAGACTTGGAGAATGGGGAGACCATATTACCCTACAAGCGGCGGCAGATAGGGTAAGTTTCCATTTTGTCTCAGTTTTCACAGCACTTGTTTTAAATTATTAATAGTTAAAATGTACCTAAATAATGATCTTTATTTTGTTCTCGTATCACCTGCTCTAGTTCTGTTGATGTTATTTTCCTAGCTAGTCTTCTTCATGTTCATATGGATGTTACATAGGTAACCCTTTAACACAGAAGGCATTAAAGTTACCGCTTAGTTTTGTGGCATTAGCCACTGAGATCAGTGCCTCCATACTTTTGAGTTGTTTTCTTTTCCTTGTTCTTAAAGTTTTTCCATTGTATCTCCCTTTGAATAGTTTGCAGCAAAGATATGCCTGCTGACGTCCTTCAGAGACACGTGTTTCATTGAAATTATGCCTCAGGACCATGCACCTAAGCGTGGTGAGACTCCAGAATATATTTCCTTTCACCTTCACTCATCGCTACTTGATACTGAATGCACTCTTACAAAGTTGTGGCTTTATATGTTTGGAATGGTGCAGAGTTATGGTTAAGTTTCTGGTCGGAGGTGCATTATAACTCTTTATACGACAATCAAGGTTTGTCTTGTGCTTACGGAGTGTAACAAAATGGTTGCTTTGTGCTTGAGGACACTGATTATGATCTTTTTTTCTGAGTGCAGCGGTTCCAGTTCAGCAGAAGCCAAAGAGAAAACATTGGTTGTTCTAGAAAGCAAGCTTCTCACATGGACAACATCTTCGTATTGTTTTCTATCAGTATTGTGCATAAGTCAACAGTTTCAGACGCCGTAACTCTTCCTTCATACTTGTATACACAAGAACTAGCTTGAGCTATAACATTTTTTGAAGTCAAACAGAATATTAACCAACGAGATATATTTATTTTTTTAGTCTTGTACAAATTTGTATTGGTAAAGCATAAACAAATACTTATCAGCCACAACACTGGACGCTTAAACGAATTATCTCAGGGATTTGCTGGCTCATTTGGAATACTCGTCAGCATCCATAGTGCACATTTGGAAAATTACACGATTACTTCCAGTTGACCAAGTGGTTTAAGTGCAAATAATTTGTTCTATTTGTAACCATCCATTCCCTGATTCTTTCTATGTAGTAGTTACAGTTCTTAGCTGTTGTTTATGTGCTTTCCTATTTGATTTAGGTTCCACCCACTAGCATCTATGCCTTTTAGTTGTATTGGGGTTTCTCAAGCTCTGCAAGAGAATTGAATACACTGTCCGAGCTTGGTATAATCTTCAGTTTAAAGATTTGATGGTGTTTACCCTCTCTCCTCCTATTTTCTTCTTCTTAGAAACGTGTTTGCATTTTCTTGTTGTTCTCATCCTGTTTTCTCAATCTGCAGCAACTCTACTCTCTTTTTGATCATGTATCCGGTGCTCAGAAACTCCAGCAGCAGAACCTAACTTCTCAGGAAATTGATGTGCTTGAACAGAATTTCCTGCTTACTTGTTTCAGGTATTCGTCCTTGTGTTATTGTCTAGTATGTCCGTGTTGTTGAATGTTCTCCCTTTTCCTTTCACAAGGTCAGGGACAAGAGCAACTTTAAAATAACAACAGATGATGAGATCGAGGTTGCACGCTCTGGGCAATATCTTCTGAATCTTCCCATCAAATTTTGTAGTATGTAATCTTCAGGCGTGGTATTGGGATGAATAAAACCACAGATTTCTTTTTCATGGAGAAATTAGATGTGATCATATCCCACACGTATTTGGTCATATTTCCTGAAAACCACTTGGTAAGCGCAAGTTATCTCTGAGCTCCTTCTCATTACACTTTGAGTCTTAACCCCCTTCTTGTTCTCAATGTCTACACAATTGAGTTACCCTTTACTTGTTGTGATTCTTTTCCCACCCAACTTTGGGATATTATGGAAATTTTATGTATAATAATAATAAATGGCTTATCTCTTGATGAAATATTCAGCTTTAAGAGTTTCTTGAGCAAGCTCACGATACAACAAGAGCCTACATTTGATAGAATGATTGTTGTTAATGAATAATAGGTAAGCTTTATGTCTGTTGTGGTTCAAGAAGGATGTGGTTGCAGGCGAGCCAGCTCTAAAGCAAATCTAGTGAACACTGTTACACTTGTGCGATGACGTTATTCAGCAAGAAGTAAAAGTTCCTGCATGGATGAATCTAGTCTAATTTATTCTTATGGGCGTAAGAATGAATGCCTTTAGAATAGAGTAACACAGCCTAATTTTGGGTTACACGCGCAAGTAAAAGCGGTGATGATTTGGTTATACATATTAATGGAGCAGGGGAAAGCTACCTTGGAGGTACGTTGATAATACCAAATTCACTCTTTGTTATCATCACTTGAGTTGGTGGGGATGTGGGAATAGGATCTGGATCTGAGATGTGAGGAACTGATAAAGGAAGAGTTTGGTGAGAGGTGTAACTTTGAAGTGGACGATGCACTCCATAAGCTAGAGAAGCTGGAGATCGTTGCCCGTGACACCATTGGAAGGTACTATTGCATGGGGCTGTAGCGTGCCAACGAGATCTATTCATAGGTACCACCACCGAGGAGCTTGTCCTTACGGCCAAACAGGGCGTGGTGCGTTCTTGAAATCTTACTACCTTCTCTTCTATTTCACCAATAATAATTGTCTGATACAAACACTTGCAAGTATTGAACTATAATGTTACGGCATGCAAACGTGAAGAGTTTTTAAGGAAGACCTACAAAAAGTCTCTATTCTTAGATACATATAGCTCAACATCTATGTATATATGTCATCTTGGTACTGTTTTCCTCTCCCATGAGCTCACACCAATGCATTTGATTGTGGCAGGTGCCTCGCTTCTCCTGAAAAATATGATGGAAATCATGGAATTGAAGAGTGTTATAAGCCAACAACAGATAATCTGATGCGAACTCTAGAGAATCTTCGTCTCGTTCATATAGTTGATTGCTTTGGTGGTCTTGATTCGTTACATGAGTGTCCAGTGTGCTCTCTCACTTGGTGAGCAGCAGCGCCTAGCCTTTTGCGCGGTTATTGCTGTGTCAGCCAAAGCTAGCTCTCCTGGATGAGTCCACTATTGCTTTGGAGGAAGCCAATGAGTAACTTTGTGCTTTCTCCTCTCATTTTTTTCATTTGGAAGAATATCTTGTAACAGTGCCATTCATTTCTCATGATGTGTATGCAAACCTCTACCAGCAAATCCAGTCAGCTGGGATTACTACATACATAAGCATTGGCCACCCGCAGACGTTAACCAAGTTCCATAACAAGATCTTACACATTGCAACCGCAGATCCAAAAAAGCATAGAACGCAACTTAATAGAAGACTCATCACTGGACGTGCTTTTGTTGCAGATAGTGAAATAGTGTCTGATGGATCAAATGGAAATAAGATAAAGTTTACCCTGAGGAAGTTAGAAAGCCGAGAAACAAAAACAACATACAGAAGAACAAGAAGCATCATGAACTTGAACGAGTCATATATATAATCAACTTTGTTTGTAACTTTTAAAACCTTTGTTTAATTGTTTGTATACTGACTCAAACTGATTAATAAAAGATCAACGCTTTTTGTTACCTTTGGCAGGCACCGTGTCCTTGGTGTCTTATTTAAATAAGTAGAAAACGGCACCGTTCTACCTGAGACGTTTTGCAAAGCAACGTCTAATTTTGTTGCAGTTAAAAGGCCTTTTGAAATATAACTGAACATCGAATACTTGAAGATCTTGTCTATTAAGAAGAAGAAAAAAAGGAGAGAGAGAGAGAGAGAAAATAGCGAAGCAAGCTTTTGTGGGTAATGCATCTTCTTCTTCTTTCTTATAGTTGTTAAGGTTTCTTTACTTTCCGCCATTGTTAAACTTCCTTTCACCTCTCTGTTACAGGTCTTCTTCCCGAAGAATAATCTCTTTTACTTGGTTCGATTCTCTTTTACTTAGTGATGGAACCCCAGACGCAAGCCAAGAACGATACGAGTAACCCTCTCTGGTTTCTTCACAAAGATCAAAACCCTCAAGAAACCCTTTCTTGCAGAGATCGAAACCCTCAAGAAACCATTTCTTGTTTCTTCCCAGAGATCGTAACCCTCAAAAAACCCTTTCTTGCAGAGATCGAAACCCTCAAGAAACCATTTCTTGTTTCTTCGCAGAGATCGTAACCCTCAAGAAATCATTTCTTGTTTCTTCGCAGAGATCTTAAACATCAGAGAGGCCCATGAAAGTTAATTTCCTTGACGCCCAAGTTACTTTATGAACCGACTTCAGTGACTCATTAACGGTACTATTTTTTTGTTTCAGTTGAAATTCGAAATCTAAAATAACGCTCCCATCAGATAACCTTATCTTTTGTAACTCTTTAACATTCGAAATCTAAATTAACGCTCCCATCAGATAACGTTATCTTTTGTAACTTTAACGAATCTGTAAATCATCTTCTCCCTTATTCTCTTTTTTTGATCCTTGTTAATGAACTCATACGTTTCCCCATCGGAGAAGACGTGACCAACCACCATCGCATCGGAGCCGCAGCGTTCGCCTTGGACCGAGATGAATTGTCAGGAAAAGGCATCGGAGATGCGACGTTAGCCACCACCAACCACTACCGGTCGCCGATCTACGCCGTCGTGATCCCCTTTTCACTGTAGTTGATCCATGTTGTCGGAGAGGGAGAGCCTTCGATGCTGCTACGCCATTGACGCAACGTATCGTTTGTGATGTGGAGCACGTGGTCAACATGATAAGGTTTATTCTTCTCTTCTTATTATATAAGTAACCATATCAGGCCCTTCATGCCCATCTTTCTTGTGTTGTTAAATTCTGGTTTTGGGCTCCCCTAAGCCTATCTTCTTTCTTTTAATTTTAATGCATTTTTCAGTTACCCTAAACCCTAAGTTAGGGTCATTTTCTGCTTTGCTATTTATTTTAACGTTTTCTGTGGTTTTGTTTTTAACTGCACTAAACATAGTGGTAAGGGGAACGATTAGGTATAATTTAGTTTGGGCTAAACCTATTATAAAGTATCAAGATTGTTTAATAACTTTACATATTCTTTACGTTAGTAAAAAACCATTGGGTTTAATTAAATTTCACTTTTCTTTTTCCAAATTTTGATTCTTTTAAGAAGTTGCATAAATTTTAAAATCAAAAGGAAAAATATTTTTTCTCAACTAGACAAATGTTTTAGGGTTTAGGGTTTAGGGTTTAGGGTTTAGGGTTTAAGGGTTTTAGGGTTTTAGGGTTTTAGGGTTTAGGGTTTAGGGTTTAGGGTTTAGGGTTTAGGGTTTAGGGTTTAGGGTTTAGGGTTTAGGGTTTAGGGTTTAGGGTTTAGGGTTTAGGGTTTAGGGT